ACCGCGTTCTCAAGTGTGACTCTGTTATTAAGACTGAGTTAAGACTTCTTTCGGGAGGAATACATCTCTCATGAAGGGGATGGAGCGACTCGAAGGGAATGCACTTTGGATGTGGCTTTTGAAGAATGCCTCTTTCAGGCAAAGGAAGCCCTACTCCCAAGGTCCTTTCCTGCTCCAACGCGCTTGTACGCGGTGGCCTCAAAGACTCTGAGGGTTCCATGAGAGGTCTAGAACCTTCTTCCAACGGGCATTTCTGTTTAGGATGCAGCAGGTGCTATAATGACCAGTGAGGGTCTGCTGGGGAGACTGGTCTGCTGCCCCTCTGCTAAGTGGTAGTTAGTCTGCCTTTTGTTTTGTTTTGAAACATCAGGTTGTTGATGAAACATCAGGTTGGTTTCTCAGGGCTAAAGGGAAGCAGAGGACCAGAGAAAGCAAACCATGGGAACAAGCGTGGTGCTACCTCAAGCTCCCCGGCACCCAGTCCTGACGGTGAACCTTCCCCCCAGCGGCCTAGCCTCGCCCTTACTCTGCCCCCCCCCCCCCGCCTCCCGCCACGTCCAAGGCGCTGCTACCTTTCAGCTGCTGAAAGCAGGAGGCGCTGCTGTCCGGCTCCAGGGGGTGCCTCAGGACCCCGTTGCTGGGCTTGGGTCTCTCGTACTCTCTTTCGGGGAGCATGGCCTGCTCGCTCTCCATGGCAGGGTCTGAGTGCGGGGGCAGAGACTGTGGAAACCCGAACATCAAGAGGGAAGAGAAGAAGAGTAAGGCACCACAGAGCAGAAAGCCGCCCCACCAGGCTCCGATCCAGCGGGGGTCATCCGGGGTGATGTCCAGGTTACCTGCAACGAGAAAGAGCAGTGAGGAGGAGGGGCCGCGGCAGGGCCGGGACCTGGCTGAGCTTTCGAGTCGGCTGCACAGACAGGAGAGGGCTCTGGAAACGGCCTGGGGTTGGGGGGGGAGGGGTGCGTGGAAGGGGGGGGGTAGCGGGGACTGGACGCCACACAAAGCTGCCTTTTGTTCCACGTCAGTGCTTCTGTTTCTCCCAAAGCTGAAGGCTGATTGCTTTCCCTCCTTAATTTTCTTGTCTCCTCTGTGTTTCTGTCAGTCTAAACAAAAACAGTGAGAAGCCAGACACCCTCTGAATTAAGGCTGGAACTGACTGGCTAGGCAGAGCTGCTGAGGTGCAGGGACGAACGCGCGAAGGCACACAAGCATTCACGGTCAAGGGTCTGTTTTCACTACGGACGCTCACCGGCACCCCTCAAGCAGCAGCTCATCTGACAGGCCATCCCACACCCCATCTTAAATCGGGTTCCCAGATCACAAAGTGGAGGGGGTGGGGAGCACGGAATGAAATCCAGAGCCAGGGAGACCTGGAGTGAAACCCTGCCGCTCGCTTCTCACCGCAGGACCCCAGGCTGGTGATCTGAACCCTCTGTACCTCGCTGACTGACCTGCGGGATGATGAGGAGGAGGACAGTACCTTATGGAGTCTGTGGGGAAGATCAAATGAGCCACACCAGATATAAAGTGCTCAGCAGAGGCCTTGGCATGTGCTTGGGCGTTTCAATGGCGTTAGCCCAATATTTACGGCCGGGGTCCTGTTACCGAACTGCCAGTGGACAGGTTCACTCAAATCTTGATGGTGGCCTGTGGCTTGGGCAGTCCTTTATTAGAGAGCTCTGCAGGGCTTAAAGGCAGTGCGCACGTAGTACGGTTGTCTTGTGCTATTACTTCTGTGATTCCTTCTGTGATTCCCCAGCTGAAGTCATGAAGACATAAACTATAGCTTACCCCTCGGTAGATTTTCTTTTTTTTTTGGGGGGGGGGTCTTTCTCTACAACTGCTTTTCATAGAGCACTCCCAGATGAGCTGCTCAGAAATGTCTCTTTGGTGATAATCCCATGCTTCTGGAGCCCAGAAGGAAATTCTTGGAGACAGGAGCATGGCATATGAGCTAAGAGCTAACAGGGCTGCAGGCCTGGACCAGATGGGTGGACAGGCTTGGGAAGAGGAATGACCACAGACACCGGGTGAGCACTTCACCATTGGTAAAACTCTCTCTGAAGACTCGTCAGTTCCTGCTAATGAAAATCCCAGCCATCATTTACTGAGGGCTTGCTCTGCACCAGGCAGCACGCAGAGTGTATTTTTTTGTAATGTTTATTTACTTTGAGAGAGAGAGAGAGAGAGAGAGAGAGAGAGAGAGAGAACACGGAGTAGGGGCAGAGAGAGAGGGAGAAAGAATCCCAAGCAGGCTCTGTGCTATCCAGCTCAGAACCCAACGTGCGGCTCGAACTCACAAATGGTTGAGATCAGGACCTGAGTCGGAATCCAGAGTTGGATGCTTAACCAACTGAGCCACCCAGGCGCTCTATGCAGGGTGTATTCTTACCTGTTCTGACCAACCCTCCCCACAACCCTACAAGGTAGAGTCTTCTATGATCCCAATTTTACATAGATAGGAACATCGAGGCTTAGAAAGTTTAGGTACTCTGCCCAAGTTCACAGAGCTGAAGACTGGGCCACAGGCATCCAGATGCCAAGGGCCATGCTCCTTATCACTTTGCTACACGGCCCCTCTGGACTGCCTAAGACTTTGTTTTGGGCTCCCTGAGCGGATGATTAATTCTTGCGCTTTGTGCAACGGGCTGAAGACCACCAACTTTGTCGGCAGGTGGTGAGTTGGCCTTTACAGCATTGGTGGTCTCTCTCCTGGAGGCTTTGACATCAACCCAGCAGCTGCATCTAGGGCACTACAAAGGACCAGATGCTTCTGCGTAGCTGCATGTCAGAGAAGAGAAGGGTATAAGCTTTGGCAGGCTTAGGGGTGAATCACGGCCTTGCTGCTCACTAGCATGGGATGCTGGGCAAGCTACTTACCCTCTCTGAGTCTTAGTTTGATCATTTGCAAAATAAAGCTGACATCCACCCAGATGGCTTGCAAGGAATAAAGGTAATGAGCAAGAATCACTTGAAACATAGTAGGCTCTTAGTATATGGCAGATCCTATTATTTCTACTTATAAGTGTATATTTACAGGAATGGGAATTTCAAGAAACAGGTTTTTTAAAATATTTGAGAGAGAGAGAAAGAGAATGAATGAGTGGTGGAGAGGCAGAGAGAGAGAGAGAGAGAGACAGACACACACACACACACACACACACACACACACACACACACACACACAATCCAAAGCAGGGTCCAGGCTCTGAGCTGTCAGCCCAGAGCCCAACGCAGGGCTCGAACTCACGAACCGTGAGATCATGACCTGAGCTGAAGTCGGACACCCAACCGACTGAGCCACCCACGTGCCCCTGAAACACATTATTTATTTACTTTATCTATCTATCTATCTATCTATCTATCTATCTATCTATCTATCTATCTAAGTATGGGAAAGCTTTCAAAAGGCACGAGGAAACCCAAGGTGATCTTCAAAGCATCTTTATGCAAACGAGAGGAGAAGTCAGACTGCCTCCGGTAGCTGAGCAGGAAGGATTGTTTCCACCAGTCACTTACAGTGTTTCTTCACCAGCTGCCAAGCAATGAATGAAAACAAAAGACGTAAAAAGGGAGCCCTGGTATCTCCCTCCATTGTCAATGGGCTCCATAAACGGGGAATTGAAAGCTGGCAGATGTGAGCCAGCAGAGAGAGAGAGAGAGAGAAATCCTGGCAGTTGTTTAGGGGGAACAAAATTAGTAGCACGTAGAGAGTCATATTTTAGTTAGGAAGTTAGGGAGTCTCTTCTATGTGTGAGGAAATATCCCAGGGAGAGGGGCTATGGTAGGGAGGCGGATGTTTATGTGCATGTGTCAACTCGCTCCCTGTAGGTATGCGCACGTGCATGGAAAGCCAGCGTTTGCTCATAATTTGTAAGACAGGGAAGAGTATGTGACATGTGTCAGACCAAGGCCTGCCTGTTACACGCGCCGGGGTGGGGGGTGGGGAGGGGTGTAGGAAGGCGTGGTAGGGCGGCAGGGTTTTGTAGATCTAGGAAAATCACAGTTGACCATTTTCGGAAGTACTGATTTTTTTTTTTCCTCCCCTCTCCATCTCAACTATCCCGAGCACTGCGGCAGAGAGAGAAAGAACCTTCTGAGAAGAAACCACTCAGCTTTGGAGCATGCTGCCCTCAGGTCCAGGTTGGGGGTGGAGTTTTAGTCCCGATTTTTTCGTGGTTCACAGGAAGACAATGCTGGAACCCAGCCTGAGACAAGTCCTTGCTGAGGCACCTCCTGAGAGGGGACGGGGGAAATCCCTCCCCACCTGCCTGCCAGTCACCGGTCAGCAGAGGCCAGCATTACCAAAGCTGACGGAGACTTGTCTATGTCAGCTGGCAAAGAATGCGGTGGTAGATGTTACCGAGGTCTTCGTTCGGATCTCCTCATCTGAGAACACGAGGATTACATCTCCCTTGGGCGTAGCCAGGCACCACAGAACTCTGTCATTGAAATGTGAGCACGGGGACACATGTCACTTCCGTGGAGAACCACAGGTGAGCCGGCACCTGACTTGCCATGCTCTTTTGCCCTGCCTGATCATAGAAGCACATGAGATCCTCCGGGGACGGTACCCGAGGTAACGAAGAGCAGACGCACGGTATGTACAGCACGAACAAGAAACAAACCTTTAGTGTTACTAAGCAACTACGATCTTGGAGGTGTTTGTTACCACAGCAGAACCAAGCCTACCCTGACTAGTACAAAAGGCTTATTGGGAAATAAAAAGTCATGCTCTTTAGGAACAGTGATCCCGGGAAGGCTTGAAATAGTGAAGTACCATTTCGGGTACAGGTGGGCAATGGGGTGAAAACCTCTTTGCTTTTCTCGCAATTTGGCCCCCGTGGAGTATCTGGATCTTATTTTCTTCTTCTTCTTTTTTTTTTTTAAGTTTATTTATTTTGAGAGAGAGAGAATCCCAAGCAGGCTCCACGCTGTCAGTACAGATCCTGATGCAGGGCTCGATCTCACTAACGGTGAGATCATGACCTGAGCTGAAACAAAGAGGTGGACACCTAACCGACTGAACACCCAGGCGCCCCTGTAGTGTCTTGATCTTAAAACAAATACAGCAGGGTCAGCTTTTTCTGGAAGACTGTGGTCAGGAAGATGTCCAGAACAAAACCAAGAAGCACCCATCTGTCTCGTTTACTCGATATAGCTCATCGCCAATGAAACTGCAACCGTGAAGAAAACAAAGACACTGGAAAGAATGGGGTGGAGACAGTATCCCAGGCTGGGGGAACAGCCCGAGCAAAGACACGGCATCCTCAGGGGACTCTGAGCAGACTAGCTACGCTCTACCCAGGCACTCATCAGACCCTTGGTCATCCCAGGCGTGGACAAGTGAAGCAAAGCATCGCTGTGATGGAGAGGTCTGCCTGCCAGGAGACCGGCACAGTCCAGGCCTGCCTTTGCCTCGCTGCCTGTAGGCACGAAGGGTTTCTGCTTTACAACAGCCGTTTGTTTCTAACCCTGCCGCGTCTTAGAATCCAACACCTGGAGTGTCTTTGTGGTTTCGTCGGGTAGGCTGAGCACGCTTTTGGCAGTGTTTAGCTTCCTCTGTTGAAGGTCATGTAACCAGATGGGGCTGAGATGGTCTCCCACTTCTGAGGACTGCTACCATTGTAGGTTCGAAAGAACAGTCACTGGGAACAGAGGCAAACCAGTTTAAGACGAAGCAAACAACCAAACCAGCCCTTGAGGACACCCGAGACTGTGAGAAGAGCAGATCAAAGCACATTTGGGACACTGACTTCTTACTCTCAGGCCACGCTGATGGGTAAGTGATACCATGGCTCTCTGGGCAGTTGTGTTTTTGTTTGTTTGTTTTTCATTTTTTCAGTCCATTTACCCATTTGTCTAACCTATTTTGTGAAGCTTTTGCTATGGGACTCAAGCATTCCAAGAGTATCATTAAGTTACAGACCAAATTAGAAACTGGAGACAGGGAGGGGTTGAGGGTAGAGGAGAGGGCAGCGTGGAATGTTCAGGATCCTGGCTGTTGAGCTAATTAGTCTAACATGAAGGAATCGGGCGAATCCAGCAGCCAGCCCTAGAGTGGCAGGGTGGGAGGCTCTCGGCTGGTTGACCTTTTTCATGAAGGAAACATGCGGACATATCTTATTCCAGTTGCAAACACCACGCAGTGGTAGGGGACCGGCTGGTGCATGCCTCAGGAGGGGTCTGTACAGATGTGATGAGGTTAGGTCATCTCAGCAAGGCCTTTGTCCACAGAAGGGGGCAGCCTTTGGAAAGTCCTGGAGAAGTTCCAGGGACGCGGGAGGCCTGGGGTTTGAATCCCGCTAGCTGAGGAAATGAGTTAACCTCTCGCTGACTGTGTGCTTCCTATATACCAGGCACGGTGCTACATGCTTTGCACAATTAACTCTTGTCATCCAGGCCCAGACCCATGAGGAGAAATGCCCTCGGGATCACACAGCTTGGAAGGGGCATAGCGGAGATTTAAATGGAGGTCTGATTCTAGCACCGGAGCTCAGAACTCAAAATCGCTGCATGAGAACACCTCATCTGTTAAGTGGAATAACAGCAGGACCCACCTCCCAATGGGAATGTTCTGCGGTTCGGAAGAGGCCATCTATATACAGCCTTCATAAGGGGTCAGTCAGGTCATGGCTGCCATTACCAATCTGCTTTTGCTAAACCCACTGTTAATGTTGCTCAGTTCAGTGCTTTGGGGCACACGCTGTTACCAAGTCCTTCTCTTTTCTGGGTTCGGTTCTCAACTGGTTTCACTTTTAAAAGATATTCTATGAAAGCAATTCTGGAGGCAGCATCCTTCCTTCCGTGGGGTTTCAGAAGAGGCATCTATCCTTAAGAAGAGGGGCAGAGGGAGCCTGGTGTCTAAACATGGCCAGCAGAGCCCTACTGGGAAGCTGCCCATGGGGTCTCTCCACCCCACAGGTGGCCGGTTCCTACAACCAACCACCTCCCCTCCACCCAGACTGCAACCAGCCTCCCTCACTGCTCTCTCCCTTTCAACCCTGTGCCCTGAGCTGCAGCCAGCCTACATGGAGGGCACACTCTCTCCTCCAACTGCCCCGTGACAAGGGCTCTGCCTTGCTCGCCTCCCCACAAGTTCCAGACCACGGTTTTCCCCAGTCCCCTTCCCGGCTCTCAGCTGGGGTTTCAGAAACACGTGGCTGTGAGTCTGGCCCTTTACAGTCAGGCTTCACTTTGGACAGCCCTAAAGAGGGGCTCTGTCTTCACCGGTGAAGAAAAAATAGAGCAGGGTCATCCCTAAAGAATTAAGAACTCCATTCTCAAAATACGGCCCAAATCTGCTCCAGAGAGAATGAGTTTTAGTCACAAGATTAGAAATCATCAAAATTGCTGGAAACTGTAGAATTGGATCTTACTCTCCAATAGAATAGAATAAGTTATGTTCTTCTGCCCTCTACTGGTAAAGAGCAGCATCAGCGCTCCCAGAGCCCTCAGCAAGGATGCAAACAAAAGATGGTGGGGACTCACGCTGCTCCCTTCTCTTTCCTAGAGACACGCTGGATGGGACTTCTGCTATTAACTCGTGGCAGGAGGAGGGGGAGGCTACCATCAGCAAGATGCCCAGGTGGACTAGAAACGTGCCCCTCTGTCTTATATCCAGGGAGGCTTCAAACTTCCAGTGAACCCAGAACCATGGATGATGGCCCTTCGCACTGGCCCAGAGGGTGAGGACAGATGTTGCCCGGGACTGCGAGCAGGACTCTAGGCTGAGGGAACAGCCTAAGCAAAGGAATGAATGGCACACCGAGGGGAACCATGAATGAACCAAAGGTCCACCCCTTGGTCATTCCAGGCACAGAGAAGAGATGCTATTTCATTCCCAGGAGAGAGCTTCCATTGCTCAGAAGACATGGGTTTTATACAGATACACCCCTTGGACTGGGTACATCCCTGTTCCCCCCACCCCCCCGGCCTCAGTTTCCTCATTTGTACAATGAAAGGGCTGGAGGAGAATGATGTGAGGTCCTTTCTGGCTCAGAGATTCTGGTAACCAACCCACGGGCCTTAACCTAAGGGGACCACTGCCTACACGCTGAGGGCGGAATATGCTTCTTGGCCACTTGCCCTCTCCTTCCAGGCAGGCTTCCCCATTGCACGGGGCATGCAACCCCCTCCCCTCACCCTCTTTTGTGATTCTTATCTTGTACTGCCTGTGGCACAGTGGTGGAAGCTTTTTTGTTCATGCAATCAAAATGGCGGCCAACTCCCACCATGTGTTGGGTTCTCTGACCAGGCTTCTGCTCGTCCTCGGGCTCATTAGGAGTGGGGGTTCAAAGGTCAACCAACTGCCACAACACAGCAGCATCCAACCACCTCCTGAACAAACCCAGCACTTGAGAAGAATAAGTAAATAAAGCTGCATTTGCTTCCTTTTTTCCCTCCCCACTTGGATATTCATCACATCATTAGCTACAAGTAAATATATCAGTGGGATTAATGGAGTGAATCACAAAGCAACCTGATTAGATTGAAAACCACACTATTTCTTTGGGGTGAACTGGTAAATTTAGCACTGCCCAGAGATGATGGATTGAGAAACCAGGAATGGAGCTCTTATTGATCTTGAGAATAGATCGGTACGAGGAGGAGAGGCTGGGATGGCTTCCTGTGCTCGGTTCTCCGAGAGAGAGGAATCATGGCTTCCCTGCTCACTGAACTGCACAGAAATAGCGTGTGCTGTTCTGGGCTCATAGTCGGAGTCGTGATCACACGCGGTTAGGTAGTGTCCAAGATGGACACCAACGATCCTACCCCTGGTATTCACGTCCTTTCTCCGGAGTGTAAACCAGAACCAGAGGCTTGCTTTCAACCCTCCAGAATGCAGAAGCAATGACTTGCCACTTCTGAGACAAGGTTACAAACAGACCATGGCTCTGGTCTCAGCTGCTCTCTCTCACCTTCTTTTGGGTTGTTTGCTCTGGGGGAACCCTGGTGAGGGAGCCCTATAGAGAGACCCATGGATGTGAGCCTGAACGCGGATCCTCCAAGGCCTGCCAACAGCCTTGGAAGTGAACTTACAAGCGGAAGCTCCCCGGGGTGAGCTCTGAGATGACTGGAGGCCATGTCGACATCCTGACTGCAGCCTCATGGGAGACGCTGATTCAGAACCACCCAACCAAGATGCTCCTGGATTCCGGACCCACAGAAATAAACTATAATGGGATAGCTGTCTGTTGTTTTAAGTCACTAAGTTTGGGGTAATCTGTCACACAGCAGTAGGAGACTAAGATGTCACATGACTTTTGCTTTGGCCACTAAAACGTGAGGAGAAGCTTCAAGAGCCAGCACGCACCTCGCCACAGCCTGGTTTCCTGCCTTGGCAACTGGGCAGGCTGGGGTCAGATGAAACTTCCGTGGGCCAGGTCCTGGAGTGTCCCTGATGAGCTGTGTCTCATCCTCCCCAGCACTGCCAGCCTGCACTGGGTATGTAGCATGCCAGAGAAATCAACTTCGGTTGTATAAAATCACTTAAGGGGCGGGGGGTGGGGGCTCGATCAGTAAAGCGTCCGCCTTTGGCCCAAGTCATTATCTCACGGTTTGGGAGTTTGAGCCCTGCATCAGGCTCTGTGCCGACAGTGTAGGGACTGGGACCTGCTTTTGATTCTGTGTCTCCCACTGTCTCTACCCCTCCCCCACTTGTGCTCTCTCTCAAAAATATTTTAAAAATAAATAAATTAATTAAATTAAATACTTAATATTTGGGAACTGTGTGTTACCACTGCATAACCTAGCCTATCTAACTAACCCACCGTCAGCTCAAAGTGTGCCGAGGGTTGGGCAGGGGCGGGTGGGGATTTGCAGAGTAATCTGAAAAATACCCTTGCTCCTCCTGCTAGGATCACAAGAAGAGTTGCTCGAAATGGTTTTGAGGTATGGTTTGTTTCCTCATAAAGGCCACCACAACACTATCTTACAGAAAGAAGTTTCAAATCTTCTGTCTCATTGACCCCCTGGGTCCACTCGTATTTCCAGAGCATGTTCAGAAAGCAGGGTTCTCAGATACGTAAATGGACCGTCATTCGGTGAGAAAATGCCAGGTGTTGCCACATCTATCCTCTCGTTTAATGCTTACAGGAGCCTTGCGAGGCAGATACAATTATTGTTACCCTTCATTGACAGATGAGGACGATCCAGATTCGAGGAGTAAAATCAACTCCAGGGATTATTCGGCCCTCGGGTAGATGCTGGTGGAGTACACACTGGATCCCAGGCCATCGGAGCCAACACTCACGCTCCTTCCTTCGACCTCTGCTGAGCCAGCAGCTACAGCTCCATGCATGGAGCCTGCCCCTACTAGCAAGGGTTTAGAACCCAAAGGCTGAAGGCTCCCTTACGATGGAGGGCATGCTTACGGATGGCGATAAAAAGTTGAGATACACTCCTTACTTGTGTCAATGAAGACTGCATCCACATAGATTTTGGTACAGAAAGAGCCCAGGATAAATCCACAGGCTGGTCCAAATACCAGCATCGTGAACAGGATTCCTGAAAGAAGATGAAACAGAGATTAGATTTAAAAAAAAAAAAAAAAAAAAAAAAGGCAGCTGATGACCAAAAGAATCAAAGGTCAAGGGTATTATTTCACATTGACCAGATAAGAAATCTGATTATATAAATGCCATTAGGAATTAGTCAAAAAAAGTCCCAGTATTGAAGCACTGTTATGCAAGACTTCTCTGGTTTTTTGGTAGGTTGCACTGAATATTAGTGGGCCCTGAGAGCACTTACTTTTAGAGGACTCCCTCCCACACCGTATCAACCAAATTAAAATACACCCATGTCTGTCATTAAATTGTTTCTGTCATAAACATTTTTGAAAGGATTTTTATAATTTTGCTTTCACATTTATTTGGCTTTATGTAATTCATTTAATTTATGGTTGGCTAAGATTTCTCAACACTCGCTGTACGAATTCAGGAATTGTTGTGAAGTGAGAAAAGTCAAAACCACAAATTAGTTTCAAATGTAATAAAATGTTTATGGGCATTAATTTCTCAAAAAACCAGAGCTGACATAATGGTATGCTTTGAGAACATTTAATTAGATGTTTTAATTCATTTTAATTTTGCAGTTTCCCCCTCCATATTTTGGAGTTACTATCTATTACTGTAATAGTTGTTAGGATTCAAGCTTTTCCATAGGACTTGAGAAGACAGTACTAGACACGTACTTAAGTATCTGATGGAGACAGAACCTGAGATTTTACACAAACCTTTTTATTCATTCTTGGAAAGGTACCAAGCCCAGACTAAAACCCACAGGCTGTATCCATTCAACTAAATTTCAGTTCTGTAGAACATGCCGTGAGCAATGACAGTTACCAAGGCCCTGGGAACAAAAATAGCAGTGAAAAAGTGGCCTTTCCCTCAAGAAGCTGGTTGGCTGTGGAGACAGACAATACGTGGCTTGATCCGACCCAAGCAGATAACCCAAAAGATGGGTGTTAACAGTCCACGTGCACACAGGAAGAACAAAGTTGGAGATGAATTCAATCAAAGGGAACCCGAGCTCAGTGGAGAGTACTTGTGGTCTGCTCACAGGAGTAGACGAATTCATCCTGATTTCTCTCGGTGATGTCAACATGGAACCACTCAAATATTCATTCATGCACTCAATATTTATCAAGCTCCTTCTATGTGTCAAGCAGCAGTCGGAGGGATAGAGATTTAGTATTGGACCAAAAGTTAAGAATCTTAACCTTCCAGAGCTCATTGTCTTAGAGGTGGAGAGAAAACATAAACTATAGGCAGGAGCTCATCTGGTTTATACATACTTGGCAAAGGAAGCCATGTCTTCCCCATTTGTAGACAGAAACCCAGACCCCAAAGCAATCATTTGAAGATAGCTTAGAAGGGGGTATTGTTTGATAAAGGAAGGACTGAAAAGAGAATGGTTTATATCACAGAAATGGAGCTAAATCCACTCTTGGTGAAATCCTACTCTGTGATTTGGAGCAATCTAGAAGTTCTAGAGTCTCACACAGAAGCTGTAGAGTCTCAAAACACCTACTCCCATAGCCAGTCAGAGACCCCCAAATTTCACAGTTATTCCTGTTTATAAGAATCTTGACAGGATCAATATGCACCTCATTAGTACACTGGCTCTGGTTTGTCACAACTTAGATTAAGATAACTAAGTGGAGGAAGTTGAGAAAGTTTGGGGGTATTATTGGAAAAATCTAGAATATAGGCATCTTTCAGATATGGGCAAGAATTAGGGGGGGCTCTCCTTAGCCGGGTAGAGTTAGGGACCAGAGCTACTCTTGGCCCTATTCCCTGAAGAGATGCAGAGAAAGACCAAGACCCAGGGGGCAGGGGTGGGGGTGTGGACAGGGAGGTTTCCAAGGCAAGAGCAGCACCCAATGTAGCCTGAAGGGATTTCTGCTTCAGGGCAAAACTGTGAGGCCAGCCATGTCCTGCCATCCAGGCTATGGGCGGAGGTGAGCCACTGGTCAGTCATGGTACCCTAAAAGATGGCTACGAGCAAACCATCTGCTCAGGTAGTTCCAAAAGGAAGGGACACGGGAGACAGGACCACAATTCTCCTGCCAAGGGCCCTGCAACTACCCTGTGACTCACTGCTGATATCCCAGCAGTCACTCTGAGCCCCCCAGACACCCCCCACCCCTTGGGATATCACGCTTTCTCTCATACCCATTAAATAAAACACCCAATCAATGTAATAACCACCGATGCATCCCCTAGAGATTGAGCAATGCAAGTTACAGCTAATACTTAACAGGTCAAAGGTCTAAGCTTTGAGTATCGTTGGAAGAAACAACTGATGTGTTGAAGAGGTTGTGGAGACTATTCGGTAATTTCGACCCCACCTGGGGACAGTGGAGGGTCTGGATAGGTCAGTCCTTCATGGAACAGCTGGGGACCCCAGGCCTCCTGCCCTCATGGCAAGTTGTAACACAGAAGAAGGGGCATCCCTCAATCTCGGCTGCCCACGGGAGCCCCACAGAAACCCCACACAGAGGCCAGCCGTCCATTCTGGAAGCTCGGGTGGGCACAGACCTCCCATGGAGACACCACGCACCGAGGCGTCCTCTCCATCAGCCAAGAACTCCAGTCCCTCTAGGAGAGGACAAGGGTTTCCAAGGTGTTGGGGTTGTGGCTTTCCATTTTCACAGGATGGAGTCCTCCTGCAATGCCAGAGAAACCTGATAGGACCCAATTCCAAAAACCAACATAAGATACAGAACACGTGTATTTAAAAATTTTTTTTAAATGTTCATTTATTTTGAGAGACAGAGAGAAAGAGCGAGAGAGGGGCAGAGGGAGAGAAAAAAAAAAAAAAAAAACCCAAGCAGGCTTTGCACCATCAGCTCAGAACCTGATGCGGGGCTTGAACTCACAAACCACGAGATCATGACCTGAGCAGAGATCAGGAGTGTGAAGCTTAACCGACTGAGCCACCCATGCACCCGAACACGTTGTAGTTTTTGTATGAAGGGTGTTTCCCCCGTCAGCTGAAATCTCTAGGGGCATCTTCTAAGCAGCTCTTCCTCAGAGAGATGTCAAAGAAACCTTCAATACAAATTCTTGAATATTTTCCAAGGAACAGTCCAGTAGTGATGCGGGCGGGGGTCTTCACGCATCAGGAAACACCCTTTTTTCCACTTCAGTAATATCTTAGGATAACAAGTCAAATAAAAGCAGCATCACAGAGCACAACCCTGGGTCTTTAGGGGAACGCTATCTCCCAGAGAGGGTATGAGGTGGGCTACAATCTTACAGATGGGTACTTCTGAGTGCGCTTCCTTGCTCTCCTTTCGATTCATCCTCTTAGGCTGCGATTTTTTTCTTGTTTAACGAAACCACTTCAAATGTTCTGCCCAAACGGACGGGAAAAAGACTGTCCAGTGCTAAAATTCACCATCCCTGTGCAGTAACTGCCTTCAGGACAGGAGAGGATGTGCTTCATGGCTCAGTGCTGCCCCCTGCTGCCTGCCAGATTCACCGACACTAGAAGGGGAGGGGCGATGAGGGAGAGCAGAAATTGAGTCGGAAAAGCCACTAAAGGTGAAGAGTCCATTCCGCCCTACTACCCCGGGCCCTGCTGTTTACACCTGTAATCTCCTGTCATCTTTTCAATGACTCGGGGAGATCCGCTGTGCCCATTTCACAGAAGAAGAAACAATCTCAGAGAGGTTTCACACCTC